CATCTTGGTCTTTATACCTTCAATTATCAGTGCTTAATCTATTCTAAACAACCCGGATCACATTTTTATAATCATATTTTCAATCAGGTAATCTTGTGTTTGTCACCACAGTCGATGCAGTTATTTGCATTCGATTGCAGCCGTTTTCAGGACCATCAGTAATGCTTGAATGGGATTTTGCGTCACCCTAAGGAGGGGAAAACGTTTTGGGCGATAAGGTTAAGTGAAATTCGAATAAAAGTTTGGCTTTTTATGTACTTCTTGGAGTGAAACTGTGCGTCAAAGAAATGTCCAGGTTGATCCCAGCAGAAGACAACGACAAATTTTGCATGCTTCTTTATCTACGGCGAAGCCGAGGTGAGCTCAACAATTAAGGAAAGTATAATGGAATCGTTGTCTCTACTCATTTTAGGAAACCTCAGATAGCTATAATGTTAATTGGGTCTACTGCCCTATTTGGTGCTTCGGGGTGTTGGCCAATGTGGCCAAATGATTTGTACTCGGATTGGCAGCCAGGCTCTCTGGGTTCGAGTCCCGCCGATGCTCGGTCAGATTGGTACCTTGCCACAGTGCTTGGCCGGTGTACCGGTTGAGATGAAAGATTCATATATCCTAGCCATAAATCCAACTTTCGCCTCAGGACGTCCAGGCAGATGCAGAGTTTCACAATATGTTGGCACCAGAATGGGTGTGAGGACTCGAATCTAGGGAATGTCGCAGGCTCGTGAAAGCTTCGCCAGGCGCCAAAAGGCCGTGAAAGCTGGGATTTCGGAAGACTAACCCTTGACCAGACTGGACAGACCAAAGGCAAAAAGTCACTCACCAACGGCCCGGCAACTGGCCACAAGGAGAGAGGCGACGGCGAACACAGGGAACCATGAGGACTCTTTATTCGTCATTGTTGTGGAGGCGCGAAGAACAAGTGGAAACTGACTGCCGACAGTCAGGACGCCAACGCAGCTATTTCACCGAGCGTGGGTGCTAAAGACGTCTGCTTCGGCTGAAAAAGACGCATAGTCACAAGAGAAAAATGG